AAAATACATAGCAACTATTAATGTAAGTTATTGTTCTGTCTGTTAAATAGGCAATCACTATTTCAACTAAGTACGCCGGAATTTCTTTTTTTCTCATGCCAGTCACAATTGCTGACCACGGAATTGAGTTGAACGCGTTACTGACGTCAATACTTATTGAGATCGCAACTCCACCTTTACTTATGCTCTCTTTGATTTTGTTTTTTACCCTTTTTATAGCATCTATGGTACTTCTACCCTTTCTAAATCCAAATTGCCATTCTACAAGGTCGTTTTTTGAGTTTCCAATAACTTTTTCTATTCTTTCTGCTATTATTCTTTCGAAAATTTTGCTAATTTCATCTAATAGACAAATCGGTCTATAGGCCGATGGGTCATCCTGCTGTTTATTAGGTTTTTTTAGTAATATTATTTTAGCTTCTTTCCATTTTTTCGGGAAATTTCTTTTCTTTAAACACTGATTGTATAAGTCCAGGATTTCTGTTTCCATGTGTAGCACCGCAATACTTATAACTGAGCTAGGTACACCACTGGGTCCAGGCGCTGTCTTTTTTGCTTTCATTTTCTCGACTGCTTTAGTTAGTTCTGCTGAGGTTATTTCCCAATCAGGATTCCATTCTCTGCCTTCAGGAGAATAGTCTATGCCCGGCGCAGAGGGAAAGAGAACGTTCATTATATTTTCAAGGAGAGTTGTATTCATAGATTCGATTGAAACAGGACCACCTTCTACAGTTTTACCACTCGCCCATTTGTAGGGTTTACCCCACGGGTCAAGATCTAGTTGGGTTAACAGCTCCGACCATTTTCTTGCTTTGGCTTCATAGATTGCACTCTTTAGTTCATTCTTGCATCTCCTATATTCATCTTCGGTGGACTTTAATCTGTTTTGATTCTTTAACTTTTTCCTTTTTTCTTTTTGCCACTTTCTTCTTTTTTTTATGCAATCTTTTCTTATCTCTGCGATTTCTTCATTCCACCAATCGTTTGGTTTTTTATTTCTTCCACCTTTCTTCCTAGGCATAGCAGCGTCGCAGGCTAGCGTGAGTATTGTTTCTAATTCCTTTATTTTCTTTTCCAGGTCTTCGCTGTCGGTAGCCAAAGGTCCCCAGGATGAGGTCATGATTGCTGTTCGCAGACGGGTAAGTTGAGCCTTTTGATATTCCATCTAGGGTAGTGCATGTTTCTTAGTTTAACTATTCTCTTTGTTGCGTTCTCTTGAATTTTCATTTTGAAGGATACGTATTTATGATCAGAAAGGGTTTCTTGATCTTCAACTCTCCAGTCATAGATCATCTTACCAGCAGCAGGATTCGCCCACGTGAGGTCTACGACCGAACTCCCTTGCGGTCTTATACATGTGTGTTCGGTACCTATGTTGCAGAGTTTCATGTTTTTGCTTTCCATCCATCTTTTTAGCTTAATTCCTCTAATTCTGTTTGTTTTGTTGCCCCAACTTTTATGGTGTGCATTGAAATCACCGCATATAATTAATGCGATATCTTTTGGGAGATTTTGAATACATTTTCCCATTTCTTTTAAGTGTTTTTCAAAATTATGAAATTGTTCATTTGGAGAAAAATAACATCCCAATATACATAATTTTTTGCTCTGTGATAATAAGAAGCCATTACCTTTGTAAACCATAAACCATCTTCGGTACAGTCAAATTTTGACTATCGTTCCACCATATTGCCACGTTACCGTTCACATCGTACATCCATCTTGCGTTAGATTTTGTGTAAGGTTCGCAGATCACTCCAATCGTCGTCTCAGATTCACAGGTGTGATGAGAAAAAAGCATTTGCGCGGCGTACGAATGATTTACGTTCGCTTGCAAAATTCTTATTCCAGCGTTATTAATACTACTAATTTTGACTGTTTTCAGTTACCTCCGGCCTGCATTCTGTTTGCGGATTGCTATCATCTACGTCTGGCAGATTCCTTGGAGTATTCAGGATAAGCGCTGTATTCTTTTTCTCCCGTTGCGTAGCATTTAACACATTAGCTTTATTCGGAATGCTCGATTTGTATCTCTTAAGTGTCGGGCATTCTTTCGATCCCATTCGATGGTTATGTTGTAAGTTGGCTTCTTCACATATCCTACAGATTAGCGAGGTTGCATTACATTGTCTGACGGTATGCTCAGATCCTCCGCACTTATAACACCAGCCCTGTCGGTCTATCTCACTAGTGCATTTAATTCTGGTGTGTCCGAAGTGCCAACATTTATAGCACTGTATTGGCCTTTTGTCGATTTCCTGAAATCTCACCTCTGACCAGCCTATCTGGAGTTTGCCTTTCGTCAACAGGCAAAACGCCGTTTCCTCGCTACATTTTATCCATACGGCGCCAGTTCCACGGTTGTTCAATCTAATCTTACCTATTTCAACTTCTTGTTTGGAGCCCGATTCTTTTTTTATTGCTTCTAAAATTTCATTTTCGTTTGTTGCAATATCCAGGTTTGTAATTACCAGTTCTTTCGTCTTCTTCGGGCAGGTTATCTTAACTTTTTTCCCGGCTAACACATCTGCCATTTCTGTTGCTAGTATTTCAGCATTCATTTCCATTCCTTTTTTTGGAATCTCCAAGATCAGTCCTCCATTTAATGAAGTTCTCGGTCTCAGAGAATCTATTCCAATATCCGTTAGTTTGATATTTTTCTTAGCTTCCGACATAATCTGGGCCATGTCGTACTCGCAACCTTTTTCACGAACAATATACACCGCCACAGACCCTTTGGGACGTCTGAGGGTTGGAACATTGTTTTTCTTAATTTCATTCGTCCTTTTGTTCTCCACAACTACCATTTCTTTGTTAATTGTGGTGCCCTTTTCATTTCGAGGCAGTTTCTTTTTTGTTGACACGCTCGCCCATGTCTGAGGGTTTCTCGTCTTCGCAGGAATGTTTAAGTTGTCTGCTACGTTTGGATGTATCTTTTCCGTTTCGTTCAGGATTCTTGGTTCGTTTACATCTTTTTTATACAGATTTTGGTTCAGCAAATCAGCAATTTCTTCTCTAAAAATAGACAGTTTTTCGTTCATTTTTTCTTCTATTTTTTTTGCTAGTTTTTCCATGTCATTACTACCTCCAGTTTCCTCTCTTTAGTTTTCCTTGCTCTTTGTTTCAAGAGTTTTAATTCTACTTTCCAGTTTTTTTATGTATTCTTTTAATTTCTTGTTTTCTTTTTCCAGGTTGCACGCGGATGTGGATAATACCCTTCAGATTCGACGATGTTGTCCTCACCTTTTCAATATCTGATGCACTTTCAATAAGTAGACCAGGAATCGACGTGGCAGGCTGTCGTTCAATATTGGAAATGTTCGCGGTTTCATCACTATCGGTTGCGTATTCTGTTTCAGATTCTTCAGTGTCCTTTTTCTTTTTGGACACTCTTCTCTCATTGGGTGAGTTTTTCTGCGTACCTTTTTTAGTTTTTCACTTGAGCTCTTTTTATCAGATCTTTTTCTTTTACTACCGGGGGGTGCCATTGGTGTACTAAAAGTTTCTTTTTCATTCCACACAGGTATATTCTGTCTGCTCGTGTTACCAGAGATTGGGCTACGTCGCAGGGAATTTCTTGGCGTGTGTATGCTTTCATAGTCTTCCTGACTAATCAAGTTCCGAATGCGTTGTTCTTCCTCCGTTAAGCTTTCTGAACCGCTAAGATT